AAACCAGCCGCGGGCCGAGCCAGTTAAGGTGGAAGCGGCTGCTTCCAGAGGGCTCTCGCCCTCCCTCTGCCCTGCATGGTGCCTGGCAGCCCAGGGATCTGCCCTGGGACCAGCCTCAGGTGTGCCAGGCCCTCCAGACAGCAGATTTGCCTCTGCCGAGAGCCCCTGCCAGCCCCAACTTGCAAAGGAAGGGGCGGAAAAGCCCGGGAGCGCCCAGAGCCTCCCTCGCAGCTCTGCGATGGGAGCAGATCCGGAGCCCTGGAGGCGTTTGCAGAGCAGTGGAGAGCAGGAGAAGCCCTGGGCTCCGGCACTCCTCAGCATCCCCCTTATCGGAGTGGAGTCGAGCGTGGCTCTGCGCTTCATTTCCAGGGCTCTGTCCGTGGCCAAGTCCTTGGTGGAGCTGTTGCCTTCATGTCCCATGAAGGACAGATCCCAGCTCTGCGCACGCTGAGGAAGAAGGGCTGGAGATGACTCTGGGCATCTCCGGTACCTCTCAAATCTAGTGCTCTTTACAGGAGACCAAGGCGGTTGTTTAACCTCCACTGACTAATCTTTCTCCTCTCCTTTGAAAAGAACGATGTGGGAAAAGCTCCTCCAGGGACCAAAGGGTTGGAATAACTTTGGTATGGAGAAGGTAAATGAGCGTGGTGTCCTTGGAAAAGAGGGAATGAGCATGGAGGGAAATGCGTAAGATTGGGACTGTGCTAGAGCAAGTGAGTGGGAAATACATAATCCTTGTGCCCCGCAGCAGGTGCGAGGGGATGTTAAATTAAATAGCAGGCAGAAGGTTTGAGCCCATTGGAGTTTAAGGAGGTTTTTTCTTCACGAAAGCATCAGTCGGCCGTGGAGGCCGCGAGGCGGCAGGGAGGGCAGGAACGTGGCCGGACCCGAGCAGCGAGTGAACGGCCTCGCAGAAGGGAGCTCCAGCGAGGGCTGCGGGGCGCGGGGCCGTGGATCCCACCCGGCAGCCCCGAGCCCGGCGGGGCTCCGCGTCCCACCGCATCCCTCCGCGTCCCTCCGCGTCCCACCGCGTCCCTCCGCGTCCCTCCGTGTCCCACCGCATCCCTCCGTGTCCCACCGTGTCCCTCTGCGTCCCTCGCGCCTGCGTCTGGCTCCTGCCACCAGATAAAGTGACCCACTGCAGCAGCTCAGGAGCATTAGCTTACCCAAGGAGCCTCCCCACCCCCACCCTTTCTGCTGGGTTTCTTGGAGCCACCAAGGCCACGCAGGTGTCTGGCTACCTGGCTTTGCTCACGCACCACCGGCCTGCAGGAGGGGAGCCTAAAGGCGCAGGGATGAGGATGATGAAGGAGGCCGGTGCATCGCACCGTGCTGCTCCATGTTGGCTGTTCCTGCGCTGGCCAGGAGCCCCCACCTGCGCTCCGTGCCGCAGGAATTGCCGCAGGAATTCCGCTCCGCTCCGTGGTTTGCACGGGGAGCACAGCATGTGCTTCTGAGACATGTGGCCCGAATTAACCTCTCTGCAAATGGTTTCTAGGTAACAGCGCTGCGCGGATCAAGATAAACTGTGAAGCGTATTTATATTTACCGAGGTTGTGTTAACCTTTGGGAAGTTGACCTTAAGCAAAAAAAAAAAAAAAAAAGATAAAGTGACAAAAACATTTAGGGCACAAGAGAGGTTTGCTGTTGTTTTTAATCCTTTTACTCTTTGATTACTTCAGTTCTGGCAGTGGTAAATATGCCCTTTTGCTCAAGGCATCCCTGATTTTTGCAGCTGCAGAGCCAATACGTCTTTGTCTGTATGAATGTTTTCAAGGTGAGCCGGAATGCCAAACCCGACAGGACGCATCTGCTGGGCCGGAGCTCCTTGCTCCGTCCCTTATTCCCCTTCTCCTGAGAGGTTCTGCAGCAGACGGGCGGCCGCGGTGTCGCAGCCCTGCGCTGCTGCGGCGGCTGCTCCGGACGGGGCACGAGGAGAGGCCCAGGCTGCTGGTCACCATCGCGCCCGTCCCCACTGCAGCAGCTCAGGAGCATCCGGGTTTCGGAGCGGCTCCTCTCCCTCGTGCGTGCTGCTGGGATGAGGAGCTGACATTGTCGGCATTTGCCTCGCAGCAGCGATTTCCCAAAGTCGCAAATCCCCTTGGAATGAGAACAAACACACAAGCAATGGGAACGAGCCTTTGGGGCGCAGCCTCTGCAGAGCTTGTTCATGCAGAGCCGCAGCCGGACGCAGGGATTGCAGCGCCTGGAGCCGGCGGGGAGCTCCCCAGGGCCCTGTTGGAGCATCGGGGAGAGGGATGCAGCGGGAGGCGGCTGCAGGCGGCGGGTGCCCTGGAGCCGGCGGGCGGGCGCTGGGCGCAGCTGGACCCTGGTTTCCCCAGAGCTCAGCATGTGCCTGATGGCCACTCCAAGGCTCTTGGATGTCTTGGATCTGTGTGCCGGGGACGCGGAGACGATAGGCAGCGGATTGTGCGATCCCACAGGGAGAAGCCCTTTGGCAGTGATGCTTTTTGGTGCAACTGAAGATGCAGCTCCGCTCTCGGCCCGGCAGCAGCAGCGGCTGCTTTGAAAGCGCAGCATCCAAAGGGAGTCGAGGCAGGAAGAGCCTTTTGCTCGCAGAATCCGTGCGGATCCAAGCACTCGCAGGGACACAAGAGCCCTGGTCCTGGCGCAGGCGCGCGTGCTGCTGGCCTTCCTGCCGCCTGCAGGCGGGAGCGCTCGGGGGCTTTGGGCTCCGTGCACCAACGCTGCAAACTGGGCTCCGGGAGCCGCTTCCCATCTGTAGGAGGAGCCGCAAGGGCCTCTTGGAAATCCAGGTCTATTTTTGCATCAAAGTGTTCAAGGCAAAATCAAAGAGAAGGAAGATGCAGCGCAGCTTAGCCGGTGCTTGGGGACTCTGCGGGTATCCGACGCTTCTGGTAACTAATTAAGAGGGAAACCAGAAGGCTGCAGAGTCTGAATGGTGCGATCTGGGCTGAGGCTCAAACCCAGCGCGTAGCTCGAGCGGTGCCTGGGCGCCCGGCTGCCTCGCGGGGCCGCAGGGGACCCGGCAGTGAGGGAGGGAGCCGCCTGGGTGTATTTTTATTTTGCTAAATCCCACAAGGCATGCCCACATGAGAGAGCCTGGTAAGTGCCTGATCCGTAATTACACAGTGCAAGCTGGGCTTTACTCGGGATGAAAGTCTGGAGGAAGCTCCTTTGCAGCTGGTCTCTGCCCTTCACCTAGAGATTTTATTGCTGTAAATATTAATAACGGGAGCATGAAGAAGTTCAGCACTCGGGGTCATGCAGACTGGCAGAGCTGGGCGGCCTTGCCAGCTCCTCGCCGCTTGGGTGAAGTTTCCTCCCTTTAAAAAGGGGGAAGCAGAAGGAAGCAGGAGGAGTCTGGGCAAGCGCCGGCTCAGTTG